AAGCAGAACATTGCCATTACTATATTTTAAAAGTACTTACATAAAAAGAGGTGAAAATAGGAGCAATTCTATGGAATAGAAGGAGGAAAGTCTTGCTGACACTGTCTTTTGAGACACTCGGAGGAAGAGAAGTACAGCACAGGGGACAACCCCTTTCACAGTGTTGAAAGAGATTGATTATACCAGCTCCCACCCCTGCCTCCAGATCCTGGATTAGAAAGTGCTGGCTGTGGTCAATCTGGTATTGACTTCTAAAAGAAGTCACAGATACACAACGGAGTGAAGCTGGAAAACCTCTGTTTTCCCAGATTGCTGATTCCTTTATCAACAAGCACAACTACAAAATATGAAACCCTGCCCTTAATTTACTCAAAAGTAATGAGTCTGGTGACCAGGCCACCTATAAAGAAGGGCCATAAACATGCTTCAGGGCACATAACAGTTTGGAACTTACATTCTTGACGGGGTACCTGAGTATATGGCTCTGTGAACATGATTGCAAAGGGATTGCAAATCTCTGTTTGGATTGCTGTCTAAGTAGAGAGTAGATGATTGTATTTTATGCTACGTAATAACATGACTTCAAATGCCACACAAAAAATGAAGCTTACATTGCTTACATTTGCATGCAAGTGTCTGGTTATGTCATATAATTCTCTAATTTGCACACATTTGATACCTCAGATGTGCAATGTTTTCAAACCACAGGTTATGAGCAGATGTGATTTACACAGCAATATAAATCACAGCTTCCTAATGCTAGTTAAAGGGTGTAAACTCAAACAAATGTGAGATTTACACCAATTTGGTTTAAGAGAGACTTTGAAAGTCTATTTACCTCTATGTTTAAAAGCAATTCAGAATGATTATTTATGCATGTTTACACTGAATGGAAAAGTAAAAATCTTATGAATTATAACTCCAATGTGAAAAATTCCATGCTAGATTATCTTTATAAATTATGCTCAACCTTTGTCTTCCCTAATAGCAGGCAAGACAATCTGTGCTCCTCAGTGGAACACAAGTGCACACTCCTGGTCTGTGGTCAGAGCTAGCATGATGGCATAGGGGCTGTTTGCTACTCTCATACCACATGACTTCCACTGCTGCGTGTGCCAGTCTACTGGATCCCCACATCATATGACATTATATGCTGTAGCAATAGGCTTATGTCCTAAAACTATCTCTGCCATGAGGATAAAGGCCATTTCCAATGATTACTGTTACCTACACAGATTTGAAATCATATACTGGTAGGTATGAATGAATGGAAATTATTTGTTTACAAGGTCAGCATAAACTTTGTACTTTTTTCTTTATGACTGCCTGGGTATGTGATAATATTTCCTATATCAGTATTGTAGAGATGTATTGGTATCAATCAGACCAGTATCTAAAACATCAGACAGTGTAAATAATAACCACCAATTAAATGAATTATACTGGTAAATATGCAGGGTAGCAACTAATTTTCTCTTTACTTACCTGGTTATCCTAGGAATTTGTATGGCTCTATAGCCATGGTATTTGAGTATCTCCAAACCTCTGAATCTGTGATCTCCATGCAGGTCTGATGCATATTAGTCCAATTAGCCCTGTATAGGTGTGCCACTTAAGCCCTAAGATGAATGATTGACTCAGAATAATCTCAGAAGTCTATGACCTCTTGATTCACCTGCTGGCTGCGAAGGATTAGTCTCCCTCTTGTATAGATGGGAAGCTGAGTCATAAAGAACTAAAGTTACATGCCCATAAACACGTAAATAGCAACAGAAATGGAATCAGAGCTCATGATGTACAGATCCTCAGTCCCTGTCTAGTTGCATTAAGTTACTCTCTCCCCTGTCTTCAGAGAACTGATCATATTTGGTAAAATAGCCAGCAGTTGTTGCTCTTTGCTGTGCACTGCTCTGTGATGTGTGTGGACTTAGAAATAACTGCTTATCAGAAAGTTAAATTAATTGGGTAACAACACAGTTGCTTAGTGCATTGACAATGGAATTTATCAGCTCTTTTACTAAACTGCTGCATGAATTTGGGCAATTACTTCACATGCTGCCATTTTTCTAATTGAATATAGGAATAATAACATTATTGGGCATACAGGCACAAAAATCACTGCATAGTGCTGCTCTCTTTCTCTTTTAAGACATTGAAATGAGAAAAGGAAAGGGGCATAGAGAATAGTAAGTTTTCCCATTTAGTTGAATGAAGTTTCTATGACACAACTCAAAAATTTCTTGAAAGAAAACAGTTGGTAAGAACATTTCAGTTTTAAGTTTTACCAACAGACATGTCATTCCAGGGCTGTTGTGCTTCTATGGAGACTACAGCCTCTGCAGCTGTGGTTCTGCACCCTTTGCCAGTCAGCACAGGTTGGAGCACTCTGGGTGTGTCTCAGGGCTGTTTTTCTTTTCCTCCAAATACAGTATAGGAGTGTGGAATTTGACTATATGTAGCAGACACGTTACCTCATTTTGACAGCAAAACTGGCTATAAAAGGGTTAACCTGACTGATGGAAACATTTCAGTAAAATTGAGGGAGGTGGAACTTAAGTCTCAAGTCTTAATAAAATGCAGGTGTTTTATTGTTAGGTTTAAAATGTCTTAAGACTCCAGCAAGCATTTGAAAACAAGGGGAAAAAATGTGCTGTTGAATAAGAAACATAACAAGAGGTAGTGCAAGGCATCTACAGAGAATTCAGTTTTCACTGGCTAAGGTCTGCCTTAAAGTTCACAGACTGAAAACAAAACATAAATGTTAACTGAATAACATCTCTCACAACGTGCATCTGACTTCTGAGGTATTACACCTGGGATTAACTTTTGACATTCTCCTTTCCACCATTGTGACTTTGCTGTCTTACTGGCTCCATGCAGAGTATTTATACTTATTTTGCAATCTTTCTTCTTCTTTCCCACTCTGTTTGGGGTGTTGATGGGGTGACAGGTAGTGTGAGGACTGCATTCACAGTGTACAGAAAGCTCTGCTAAATCATTTCCAACTGCTTTTATGTCAGGAATAGAAATTTTTTTGTGTGTTGGGGGGAACCAAACTACTTATAGAATAAGCTAATAAAAAGAAGTTGTAAATAAATCACCAATCACTATTTTCTTCTCTTTCAATTCCTTTTCCTTATCACAAATAATTGGGGGGAGCATTTGTCAGTAAACTGCACTGCTTAGATCACAGCGTAGAAGGATTGCACTGAACTTTGATCTTTAACTTCAAGTTCTTAACATATTTGGTGAATTAACATAGATACAACTTTCTAAAGGGAAATGGAACCTGAAGAACCAGAGAAGACTAAATGTACTTACGACTACCCAAGATTACTGCACCAATAACCCTAGGGCCTTAATTAGTGTGGGGTTTTTTGGGACCTGTGTGGTGAAAACAGTAACTAATTACTATCCATAAAAACTCAGCCCTGAGAGAAAATCAGGCATTGATTTTCCTAGCCTTAGCCTTGAGGATGTAAATAAGCTGTTACTACTAGAGGAGAAGGACAGAAGTAGTCTTTGGAGTACCTGATAGGATGGAAAACAAAAGAGTAACTTGGGTTTTGATGTGAGAGTTTTACAGCTGCAGTGTAGTAGGAAACAGAGAAGCAACAGTGAAATTGCACTGACAGATGAAATATAAACAATACTAAGCAAAAAATATATGGCATATAGAAAAGTCTAAGGCAATGAATAAAAATTAAGCTTATGGAGCAGTGGAGCTAATAAACCTGAGAACCTTCCAGGTCTTGTTTTGCATGGAGTAGAGTGCTCAGGACAGCTTGAATAAATAATTCAGAATACCAAACAACAAAAAATAAACCCCTCCATTATCAGAATAGGAAATCCAAAAAAGGCCAGGCTGTGTGCCTTCTGTGCACCACTGCCCTGCATCCTTGCTACAGGTCACTGGCCATCCAAACTCTTGAGTCTGGAATACAGGCATCAGACTGTTGTGGCAGAGATGAAGGAGGGGAAAGTGTAGATCTTTCTTCACGCAACTTTCATAATAAACCTTTTTTACTGTCAGCCATCATCAAAATTAGGTGTATTTTTGAGAATCATTTTCTGAAGATGCAGTGGAAACAGACTACATCTAAAGAGAGGGGCAAAGAGTAGAAATCTTCACTAATAGTATCTCAAAAACCTTGGTAGGAATCTTCAAGTTGGAAATCTGAACGTGCTCAGGATCATACCCTTGAGGAAACAAGTATTTGTCAGCATTTGTTAGCTGCTCACAATTTTAGATCTTCCCTGGCCTTCTCATTTCCTCCTTTGCTTTGTAAGACTGCTTTCATCCCACTCCTACTCAACTTTGCAGATGCCAGTTCCTGTTTCTAATGTCAGCAGTTCTCAATCTTCTCAGATAACCCTGTTGTTGTTTGTGCCTTGCAACGTGAGGGAAACAACCCGTGCTTTCTGTTCCCTCCTAAAAAGTCACTGCTGCTCTAGCTCCAACAAACCTAACCCAGCCCCTGCTCTGCTCAACTTCTGCCCAAATCCAGCATGTCAGATTGGAGAAACTGGCAATGCCTCTGGTCTCAGTGTGGGGAAATAACCAAAATCAGTGTTAGATGCATGGGTTCTTTATTCTCCATCAAACTGGCCTTTATTTTTTCTTTCTAGCCTTGCAATTATTCTTGAATTTTCTGATGTATGTTGTCTCTGGGAGCCACTAAAAAGTAGTGGATGAATTTGCAATAAAATATGTACAGCTCTGCTAAAGTGGTTTTACATTAGTTTGTATCAACTCTGAGCTAATAGTGACGTCAGTCATTGAAAAACTCCAGACAAGTACTTTGTACTAGTGCTAAATTTTAGCAATAATTGTTAGTTATAGACCTGTTAGTTGTCTTTGCAGATACTGCTAACTATTCCATATCATACAAGAGAAAGAAAGATTCTTCCTCTAAACATTTTATGTACTGTAAAATTGTGTTGTATTTGACTCAAAGAACTAACCAATAACCTTTGTATCCTGTCTCTTATTTCTCTTATTCCTCCATCTTTGCATGATGAAAGTTCTCCTTCCAAATTTCATTTACTTCATGTATATTTATTTTAAATGCCTGAAATGAAAACAAATTTCTTCACAGCTTTCTTCTATACATAAGAAAAATGTAGTTAACTGCTTGTAAAAGAAGCGAAGATCCCATATAAAATAATAACAATAATAATAATTATTTCACTCTGAAAGGTGCATCAAGAGTAAGATTGTGCTAATAGCACAGAGAATAGAAAATATTAATATCAGAATATCGAAGAAGACAAAAATCTTTGCTTTTATGCTACTCTTCCAATAGCATCTCAGTGTATTTTAAGGAAGGGTTAAGGGTATTTTTAATCTTAGTCTTCAATTTTTGTAAGTGGAGCTAAGAATTGTTTCCCTTAGTTTATTTTTTATTTCCTCTAGCCTAGTCTAAAATATCTTAGCATTGTACCTTTCACAGGTGACCTGTAGCTTTTTTATGAGAGTGAAATGCCTGAAGTGCTTGCATGCAGAGCAGCAGGACCTGGTGCCCTTCATTTCACAACAGCTTAGAAATAGGCTTAAATGGCAATAGTGCTGATGCCTCCACCCAAGCCAGGGCTCAGAAGGGATAGGTACAAGTAAGTACAGAACTGTTTGCTTTCCCTTTCCCCTGCTTTACTGTGGGATACCCACAAACATTTAATTAAGGCTATTGTATGCATGCTTAACTTGGAGATATCTGTGCTTCCTTGAAACCGTTACGCAGAAGCACCAAAGAAAATACAAGGGAGTCACTGAAGGAAAATACAAATGAATTAGAAAAGCATAGCAACCAGAGAATACATTTCCCATAATACAACAGTCAAAGGTCATGAGATCACAGATGCTCAGTTGCTCATGCATATCATCTATTCTCTCCACTTGCATGCTTGCTCCAGAGAGGGCAAAGATTTAATGAGGATGGGGCTAGCATTAGCAATTCTCACCCTTCCTCACACCCTACATCTCAAAGAGCATTGAAAGCCTCTTTGAAGTTGGAATAGACAGACATTGAACTGTCCCAATGCACACACACAATCTGGAGTTTTCTCATCAGGTACAAAAATACAAGGTGACTGTTCTCTTCCGGCTGCTCTGGATGTGAACAAAGCTCTCGAATCAAAGACTTGCTGAATTGAGGAGTTGAAAGAAGTTTCTCCATTGCATCTGTCTTTTCAACCTGCAGTAGCAGCCCTTCTCAGTCTCACGGTTTCTATTAGCCCGTTCATTTTTCCCAGCTCCTCAAGAAGAAATCCTGTTCAGACAAAACAGCACTCTATTTACAGGAAGCTTGCAGGGTCAAAAAGTGACTGTAAAACAGATCTCTTGTTAAAACACATATACAGCATTTGCTCTGATGTAGATACAGCTAGGACTCAGCAATCTCTGATTTGCTATCAAGGCCTTGAAGGTGATCTCAGAGTCAGATTTGTTAAACTCGGTGACATTGTGTTGTTATCACTTAGCAGAGCTAACTCAGTCGCTCCAAGTCCCATTTAATCTGTGCAGCTCACTACCCACAGCTTCTGACCTACTTAGTCACTTCCGGTCTTTGATTTTAGTCTTAAAGCCTCTTTTCTGTGTTGGCATGTGACTGCCATTTAATCTTATTCAAACTTCCTTGAACTTCCATTACTGTCAAGTGCAGCTTCTCTCACTGTAATACCCACCCTTCTGAGTGCAAGAAAACTGATTTACAGCCAACAGTCTGCCACTTCTCTTATGGTCTATGTTCATCTTTGCTTTGTTTTTCTTCCCGTATGAGTCACTTCTTCCCCCTCTCTGACACATCATGCTACACTTGGTTTCCCTTGATCTGTCAGTGGCTGCAATGCTGCCCTGCACATCTTTACTGCAGAGGTCTGGTGAGTATTATTATAGTGTGTGCCCAGCTACCGTGTGCAGATTCAGAAAAAGCTAAACACAAAGAAACGGAGTTGGCCACAGGCTGTTTCAGAAAGTCAGCTCATTTAATATGCTTTTGGCTCTGACCAGAAATGATGACTGACTCAGTTCCCCTATGCCTCGCTTAAGAGCTCCTTATGCAAAACACAGCTGTTTAACCTACGCCTCCCCACCTACTATCTCCCCTGTTACTTCAGGGCACTTGTTAACTTTACAGATGCTGAAAGTCCTTACCAGTTTAAGGACTTTCCCAGTTCACACTGGTTCTGTATGCTGCAGCAATGGGCCTTTGAAATAGACTCCTTCAGCCAGTTTCCTTCCATGACCAGAATCCAATCTAAAGACGTTAATGTACCAGTACCATGGTGATTTTTGCCTACACAGGGGCCCTTCTGAACTGATGGGGTCTGTTCATTTTCGAGATTCTTTCACCAGGACAGAGACGTTCAAATTTGTGGTCTGGTGCTCTTAGTGGCCCAATGCTCTTTGAATGTCAGATACAAAACATTTACTGGCAATGTCATCTGCATGTAACGCATTGGAGAGATTTGTTCAGTCCCCTCCTGCATGTGTGCTCTTTCCTGGCCTTTTTCAATATGCCCACTTCTGCTTTGCTCTCTTCCTCATATTTCTGTACTCATCAGCACTCATCCACTTTTGGGTCTTGTTATTAACATCTGGAGGTAATGTGACCCATCACTGAGTACAGCCTTGTCCTCTTATGAGGCAGAAAATACCATACTTTTTGGAAGGACAAATTAGCCACAGGCCATTCTTACTAAGCCTCTCCTTCAACTTATCTCAAATGGTATTTTTGAACTGCAGTCACTACACACTGTAAGTTGAAAACAACCACTTGAGCCCTTTCCAGCAAAGCTTTGATAGTAGGCCTGGAGGAGAGATAAGCAGCACATTGAAGTTGTGGTATCACTGTAACTGAAGGCAAGGAATGAATGGAAACATACCCTCCTTCTGGCACTGCCTGGCTCTGGATGAGGGGAGAGGCTCGAGCTGAGCAGCTTGGGTTCACACGCATGGCGGGAGCCAGCGGCCTCTCAGCTGATGACAGATTGGACTCAGGGCCTGGGTAGTGGGAAGCCTGTGATTAGACTTCAGCAACATCTGTCTCTAGCACTAAAGGAATCAATGCTGTGGGCTGTGATTTTCTCAGCAAACTGTAATTATACCAGGAACCTCATTCCTGCTGTTTTTCTCAACAACTTAAGTGCAAAAAAAAAAAATTGAGTAAGGGTGCAGGAAAGCTGAAACTGTGAAAGGAGCAGGAAAGAGGCACCTGTTTATTTGTGTTCAGCCCATTCCAATTATTTTCTCTCAATTTCTTAGATTTGTATGAATCACAGACTGTTTTTACCTGGAAGTCAGTGCCAAGGTTTATCTACCTGAAGTTGGCCTGCCATCCACCTGAAGCTGATAGTACACATCCTCTCGTCCACGTATGTCCCATGGCATCTTAGACAAGTGTGGTGGCACTTGCAGAAGGTGTCATACCAACCTTTTCTTGGCAGTGCCACCTCTTTCCTCCCATGGGGACAGCAGTATAAAGTGCTGCTCTCTGATCACAGCTGTTCTCAGGACATTCCCAGGAAGGTATGGCCTGGGCAGAAGTGTGGGATATGGGAGATTGCTCAGGGTGAGTTTAAACCTTACTCCCAAAGGTCCTGTCTAGACTAGGATTTAAGAGTTTGAACTTAAAAAGTGTTAGGTTGTATACAGTAACTCTCTGTTTTAAAAGATACAGAAAAGGCAGTAAAAGTTTGAACTCCCAGTAACACCTGGTAAATTTTGCCAAAAAAACAATGTCAAAAAAGAGCAGGATTTCCTTGCAAGATTTCTCTGCCAGAGAAGTCTTTTTGTTTGTGCAGTTGTAAGTCCATGGTTGCTCATTTGCCATTCTTTGCTCAGAATATAAGAAGAAACAGATTTTTTTTTCATGTATGTGTAGGAGAGGAGGAGAAATATCTAAGGGATAGAATTCTCTCTCTCTAAGAAGAGAGAGAATTTGCCAACAGAGCTTTACCATTCAATACTTAAAATGTAGACAAGGTCAAAATTATTCCAACTAATTCATGTACTTCTTAAATTTTCTCACAGCACTAATGTGACTTTTAGCATACTTTGAGGGCAAGAGTGTCTTGTTTATGTTAAGCAATTTTATACCAACACCATACTCATCTAGAAGAAAGCAGAATTGTTCCTTACCAGCATGTCTGCCCTTCATCCTGCAACACATCTGGCAGCACAGCCAGGGATGAGAGTGTGGCAGCAGGAACTTGACCCTTGGGTCTGAAAGCACTGGGAAGGCTGCACATTGGCAAGCAGACCCCTATCTCCAGAGCCAAGCCTCTGCAGACTGGTGACACATCTGGAGCAGTCTGGAATTGGCACAAATGTCTGTGGATGAGGAGGAGAGGGGAAAGGTTAGAAGGAAAGTGGAAAAAATGCCTCTTGCACATTTCACTTTCTTTTCCATCTGCTTGTGTGCTGTTGCTGTGAGCTATTAAACAGCTGCAGTGCTCTCTCCCAGAAGGGACTGTGAGTCAGTGGAGATGGAGAATGATCCCTACAGCTTAGGGCTTCAGGAGCCCCCTTGAATGGAAGGGGCCATAGGAGTAATGCTTCTCTGACTGACTATTCTATTAAATGCACTTGGGAATTTGGCACCCGGGGCAGTAGCCAGAGATGCTGTTCTGGCTCCTCAGACCCAAAACTTGTTTCTTGCCTTCCAAGCAGAACCTCCCAACTCTCCTGAACTGGTTCCAAATTTCAAGGAGAGCAGACTACTCAAGCAAAAGGTATATGCAGACTTTGAGGCTGTAGCTTGGGAAGATAAAGGTAGAGAGGGAGGACCAGGAGAAGGTGGAGTGGGCCTACAGTGACTGCCAAGGTCTGAGCAAAAGAGCAGGTTTTTTGCATCCATTCAGACACTCAGCAATTTCCTGCATTGTTCCTGCAATCAGCATGCTCCACCTGCTTTTACTTAACCATTTCCTGTTTACGGCTTCCAAAAACTTTCTGGTGAAATCACTAATCTGCCACAAGATCAGTCTTTATGTTTCCTTTCGAGCAGGCTTCACTCACTTTTTTTCTCTGTCTTCAGTACACAGATCTTTCAGATTGAGGCACTGTGTGCTGTGTGTGCATGTCTGCATGTGTGTGTGCTTGCAGCCAGTAGTTATGTCAGGAGCTTGTGCTTGCTCATTAGCTCTTTCTCTTAACATATGCCCCTTCTTTTCCTTCTAATGCTTGCTGGTTTTTGCAGATTTGGTCAAAGAAACACACAGTAGCACTGAGGGCTGGTGCCTCCTTCTGTACAATAGAGGGCTCCAGATATTTAGAGGAAGGACTCTTCCCATTATTTTCAAGATCTAAGTGCTCTCCCACCAATGAGGAATTTGTTCTCTGCATAGCTTGCCCATGCTTTGAATTATTTTCTAGATTTGAAAACAGTGAGGCAATTTCTTCTAGTCTACTGTTCAGTTTCTCAGATGTGAAAGGGAAGGTGTCAGGAGAAGGAAGAGTGAACCAAAGAAAAAGAAATCTCTTTCTTACAGTGTAGATGGCTCCCACAAGTGCCCATCACACACTTAATCATATCTTGCAGAAATCAATAGAAATGCCTGCATACTTCAAGTCTACTCTCCTTAGCTATATTGCAGCTAGCAGCCACCACTAAAATCAAATTTATTTTTCACTGCTTTTTCTGTTTGTTTACTCTTTTTATTTCCCTTCTGAAGCAGTGAAAATAGATTCTTAAGTTTCCTTTCTGATTCTCATGCTCTTGCACAGTGCTGCAATGTTTGGGTTGTGGTGAGCACTGCAGGGGAATGTTCTCTTCTTAAAATAAATCATGGAAACATTTCTGTTGGAATCAGGACTTGTAGAAGTTTACTTTTTTTAAAAAAAGAAGAATGTCAGGCCAGCTTTGGCCTGGCACTATATCCCTTTAGAAGGAACAGGCTTCTGATGCATGTCAGTGTATATGTACTGATGTGTGTGTGTGTGTGTGCGTGTGTGTATATGTATATGTGTGAGTGTACATACATATACATACACACACCAGTATACATGCCAGTTACACTGGTATAACTGAGCACTGAAATCATCCTGTAAGAACACTGGACATGTTGGTCCTGTCAGACAGATCTGCAAATTCCTTAACTATCTCTGCTGCAAGTCAGTGTTAGTCAGGATGCTTTCTCTGACAACTTAGGTGTAGAAGGAGTTGATCTATCATGTGCACCGGCACTGCTGCTGAGCTGTGTCACACTTTGGAAATTAATTTGATGCTCTCACACTCTCACATGTTTCTGGATATTTTAACAAGAACACTAAAGCCCCACTCCCTGCTTTAGCTGTAATATAAACATGCAGCAGTCTCACTTCTGTGTGGGTTATAAGGGATGGTCTGGGCATCGCTGGTGTCCAGGCAGATGTCTGCTGTGGGCATAGCACAACCCCACTTAGATCAGAGTTTGCTGATTTGTGAGCAGCTTTTGAACTTCCATCTGGGAAAGGAAGCAGTTGTTTTCTGCGCAGAAGTCTCTTTCAGATTGACCCAAGTATATAAAAAGGTTACTTTGGTTCCCATCCAGCACAATTCATTCAATATTTTGTGTCAGGGTGCTTGTTGTCAGTGGCATTTGCCCAGGGTGAGTCACACCTACCCAAGCAATGATCTGAGAGAGCCCTCAAATCTTTCTCATTTTCATTTTACAGGGCCCTGGTAAATTCATGATCATATTGGACCACACAGCACTTTATAGAGCAGCTCCTTTTCTTCTAACCAGATTTCAGCCCAAGAGGCAACTGTTCCAAAAGAGAGTCTCTGGTCTAGTGTCCATCTTTGTTTTCCAAATCTTTCTTTCACCACACGGCTTTCTGGTTACACTGTAAATTTGGGTGTACTCAAGATATTTTTGCCTTCTTCCTCCACCCCAAAATTGGAGGAAAGCTGAACTATATGCAAATGAAGTGGGAACTGAGACCCTTAAGGAAAACAGCAAGAGGTGTAGAGGACCATGCAAGACTCTTTCCAGGAAATGGGCAGAAGGTTCATCACATGAGTCAGTGTAACCTTAGATGACTAAATTCTTGAAGAATAAACTGTCAGGAATATGATACTGCTCAGGACGGTTCCAGAGGGACGTGAAACCTTCTTAAATAGCTGTTGTTTGGTTTTTTGTTCGTGATTCATTCCTGAGGAAATTGCTGAGTCTCTGACAAGGAACAGGGCGGGGGAAGTGCAGGCAGTGCCAACCCTCCTTGGTAGAGGCAGCAGGCAAAGCATGCTGGGTTGCACATCCTGCTGCTCCTGGCACCAGCTCTCCTGCCCTAGGAGCTGAGAAAGGATCAGGAGCACTCCATGGCTGTCCTGCCCAAGTGAATAGAGTACAATAGGATCACTAGTGCTCATCTGCCAACTGAATCAATTCACAGCATGTTTTTGTGTTCCAGCAGGTATGAGACCAAGAGGAAATGAAAGTATTAAAACTCTAATTCCAGCTCCTTTTAAAAAGTTTTCTTGCTCTACCTTTCTAGCTCTTGTTCCAACCAGTTAACCAAGTTCTATCAATAAAACTGGCCCAAAGCTCTGAATTTGCATTTCAGAGATGGTCTTAAGATTTGAGCCAGTAACAGCAGAGGCAGTCAGATGCCCTCCAGAACTACCTCCAGAGGAGCTGAACTAGCATTAACAGCACTGGGAATGTTTGCAGTAGTACCTTGAGTGTGGAGAAACCCTAATGTTCCAGCATGCTGCTGTCAGTTCCCATCTTGATGAGTTTCACCCAAGCATTTAACATTTCAGCATTAGTTCCATGTCTCATAATACCATTTATGTAATGATTGCTCATTTGGTTTCCATTAAAATAATGGTATTTCTTCTTCAAACCACTGCCTGTAAAAATCAAGCCACCCAGTTTCTCTTTAGATTGTAATAATGGAAATAAATAGTAGGATACACACTGTAATTCCCAGAGAATGGGGGGGCTTTCTTTCCCCTCTTCAACATACAAAGTTCAGACATCAGAATCAGGAATGTGAAAGATCTGTTAAGGGCTGATGAATCCATCTTCTGCAAAAACACAGTGTAGTTACTCCCCAGCAGATGTTCCTCAGATACTATATTGATAAAGGAGTCTACAGCTCTCCATAGTCAGAGAGAGTAATTTCTCTCTTAAAACTGAAGAAATGGAAGTTGCAGTTCTCTCAGGGCATCACAGTGCCACTGCACTTTGAGACAGTGTAGAATATTCCTTGTATTGTATATACCAGCGCTTTGAGGAGTTCAGTTTCACATGTCTCAAACAATGGGGGTTTCATCGCTTCCTGTGGGAGCCTGCTCTGCAGCCTAACTCGTTTCACCATCTGGAGCTTTTTCCTGAGTGTCTGCCCACTTTAAACTTTCTTTTAATTATGTACCCACTATTTCTTCTTAGAGGTAATTTGCCAAAAGTTTCTGTTGTGTGAAATTCACATTCTGTTGTGCTTTTTTATTTTTTTATGAGGATTGAGAAAACCCTGAAAGATTGATGACTTCTTCTCTTTGGTTTTTCTTCCTCAGAAATAATAAGTAATTAATAATATATTACTGCTTTTTTAGCCATTCATCTCAGTGATTTACAAGGAAGATCAACATTGTTGTACTCTTTTTACAGATGGGAAAAATTGAAGCACAGGGCAGGAAACAACTTGTCTGAGATCATTCAATGAGCCCATAGCAAGACTTGGATTTTTAAGCAGGTCTCCACAGTACTGCCCTACTTTTTTCTTACTTTTTTATTTTTTTGGCCCAGTCTAGTTCCCTTTGGCTTTGTTGGAGTACCTAGGAAGGACAAACTTTCCATGAACTTTATTCAGCATTGCAATATTGTAACTGAAAGGTCAGCTTGTTGAATATTTAACAGTTACTATCTTTCCAGTGTGTTGGTCAAGCATCCTAATTAAGTAGTGATAAATAAAACCAACAAAGCATTTTAACAGACTAATTCAGTCCCTAGGGCCCCCGAGCTGAATTTCCTTCATCTAGCCTGTGTTTTCCCAGTTGCAGATTGTGCAGATTGAACACTGTATATATCAAGCACACTCTTATCAGCACACTGCAGGGAGATTTCCTTCCTTCTCAGTGCCACCGTGCTTACTTCACCTGTCGTATTTCCCTTAGCTTAGTGGTTTTCAGTAAGTGAGCTTCTCAGAATCTGAATAGTTGCTGAATTATAAATCTTCCCATTTGGAATCATAACACCACAATGTGTACAGCATGATACACGTTGTGGTGAGTGACACTCAGCAGAGCCCTGAGCAGGCTTACCTGGGTGTCAGAACTCTCTGTGGGCTGCTAAAAGATAGAGGCTTTCTCTTACTTGCCTTGAAGCTTCTACCTGTCCAGCCTG